TGTAGGATGGACAGAAAGCATTGTTGAAAGAAAGAATGACTTTTTCTTCCATGTTATTGTTCTCTCAGACTTGGTGAGTGCAATGTTAGATATTACTTTGATGATTACATTCAAAACAAGACTCCTTTGTCCACGAGCAGGAAAAGTGAGTCAAATGAGATTCTAACTTTCCAATATTGCTAACTTGATCATCGTTGCACATAACTATTCTCCCCTCTTTTTGTGTGTGTCTCTGGTCTAGGATGAGTCTTTTGTGAGACTTGGAAGCAAACAAGCTTTTAGGATTCAAGCATAAACATAAACACACATTTATTTTTATTTTAAATTTGGTCATTGATTTAATTTTCTTTTACAATATCAGGTAGCTGCATTAAGATAATTCCAAGATATATAAAAATTATAAAGGTACTTTTGGTTTCCTTTATTGAAATGTGTTGTTAATGAGGAGAGAGACTGCTTGGTACCATTGCAGGAAAAAAACCCCAAGAAAAATAAGTAAAACCCATTGAGATAAAGTAATAGCTTGATATAGCATACATATTATGCTTCAAAAAATAAGTAAGTACACATACTATTAATGAACTTTAGCTTTTTGGAACATTATGTCAACAAGTACTTGACCAAATAAATAACATGTGATATGTGGAATATGAGGGAAAGGGCAATGGATGCACAGACTTCATTTTGGAAATGGTTTCTTCCTTATGCCTTGGAATATACTATGGCTCCTTATAACCTGTGGACTTCAACTCCCAGAATTCCTGAGCCAGCCATGCTTGAAGTTGAAGTTGACAGGTCGTAAAGGGGACATAGATGCCCACACCTGGGATTAGGTGTTTTTTGTAACAGAAAAATGGGTCCTGTGGTATTTAAATCTGCATGATCTTAACACTGCTTCTACTTCATATATAATAATTAGAAATAGGAGGGGGGGGTTTGTATAGAGAGAAACAAGGGTGCATATTTCAGATAAAGATTTTGCACTGACGATAACAAGCTTGGATAACAGTTTTTGGTGTGAGATGGGACGGTGCATTCATCCAGTTTATCTCTTTTATCATGTTCTTTGCCTGTTTGGGAAAGTACTTGCTTTAGAATCTACATTCCTGCTTATGTATGAACGCAAGTACCTTTGGTTTAAACCAGTGGTTCCCAAACTTTTTCAGTCCACCGCCCCCTTGGTGCTACAAACTGATCCTCAGTGCCCCCCACCCAGTGGTGGAATTCATTTTTTTTTACTACCGGTTCTGTGGGCGTGGCTTTGTGGGCGTGGCTGGGGGGGTCATGTGACTGGGCNAGTACTGCACCCTAACCACTGCGCCACTTCGGTTCTAACTGTACTTTGTTTTTGTCTTATATATATTCCTTTGTGGTGTTTCTGCTGAAAGGTGGTAGACTCTGTGTGTGTGTGTGTGTGTGTGTGTGTGTGTAAATGGTTTGTTTCTGAGAAAGAGAATTTATACAGATGGGGAAAGAATTTTAGAAATGTGTCATTCTATATACACTATACTTATATAGTGTAATATAATATATAGGGTAATATAGTGTAATTTCTGGCATATGCATGCATATATATGCATGTGTGTGCATACAAATATATATACAAACACAACAAATTATATACAGTTTCTTGCGGAATGGGAAATAATTTCATCTGGAACTGGCAATCTTGGATGGCCAATTCTAAGTTTTCTGTCTATTTCTTTATTTGAGGAAGGGTTATCTTATATTCATAGTTATGCTTTTTTGGGTACATATGTAGGTTGTCAGCAGAAGAACCATGATACACTTTTTCTGCTCATTTACTTTATTTTGGATAAATATGATATATGAACAAATTGGATAAATGTTATTTGTGGAGTAGAAATATATATTGCAGTGATGGCAAAGCTTTTTGGCACCGAGTGCCAAAAAGCCAGTGTGCATGCACACTCATTAGAGCCGAAAACCAGAAGAGCTGCCCATTGGGCATACGCGTGCCAGAAAATGAACATCTGGTTTCCAGCACGTGCATGCATGCCAGCCAGCTAGTCTTCAGTTTACTGACATGCATGCGATGATCAGCTGGCAGGTGCGCATGCTCACCCCGGAAAACGGAAGACCAACTCTTCCAGTCTCTGACACTGCTGCACACACAAAGGCCGGCTGATTGTCATGAGGGCATACATGCCAGAAACTCAGAAGAGGACCAAGTGACGTTGCGGGTGTTAGGCGACATAGCTCCGTGTGCCACTTTGGGCATGCGTGCCAAGGGTGTCATCACAGCTCTATTGTATCCCTTTCCTCCCACCTGTAATCACAATCCCTCATGATTTTGGTAGTTTTGGTAAGCTGTGCAGTACTTTGTTCTTTCTTCTGCATATTGCACATTGCTGCTAGAAGATACATGCTTGATTTCATCCACAGTATATAAGAGTTTGGCAAAGGAACCTTGAGCCATTCCTGGGAGTATGCTGGATCAACTGGATCTTTATTTTAATACTGTACATCAGAATTAATGTTATGTTCTTATCCTCCCATGGAAAGAGTTATGAAGTTTTAATACATGGTAACAGATTTATAGTAACATAAACTTGGGTATTTCTTGTACTCTAAACTTTTTAAAAGTGAAATATGACATTTTAAAAAAGAAATTGGCCACAGCAGCAGGGTGATAGCTATTTTTTCTTTCTCAGTCAGAATTCATTATTATTTATACTTGTGCTTGGTTATTTGTTTGTATCTTAATGCCAGAAACATATATAAATAGTGCATGGGCATCCAGAGCCACTAAGGTGACATGGGCGGGGGATAGAAACACGATGAATAAAATAAATAAATTGCATTTGTAGTGTACTTTGGTTNTTTTTTTTCATTGTGTGTATGTGTTGTCTATGTAATAAAAAAAATTATATAAAAAAAGAATATAACTTGGGATATAATTTTATAAATACATAAAGTGTGTGTGTCTGTGCGCGAGTGTGCAATTTCTTAATTATATGCTCACTCCCCAAGAGTGGTTCTGGCCAGCTAGAAGTACATTAAAAATAATAATAAATAAAGCTAAAAATATAAATCAAATATACATTCCAGCTGGCAGCCACATTGTTCATTCCCAGGACATGAACAACTAATATTCAAGTTCACAAGCTCGGGGGAAAAATATTGCATTGCTTTAATTGTCTTTGATATTTGTGTCTTCGATTGAATTCCCTAGTCATCAGTATCACCTTTTAAAACATTGCTGGTTACCTTTTGAGTCATTGGATAATTTCATAATTCTCCTGCAGAACAGAATGAACTTCACCAACTTCTGATTTTCATTATAAATAATAAGTGTTATAATTATATTTCCACAATAAAGTGTTCAATAGTTTAATAAGATAGATGGACTTTTCTTTAATTCTAACTTAATAATAGGTGAGCCCTGTAATTACAATGTACATTTCCCCATAATCTAATAGGCTTTTGTCGAAAATGTATTCTAAGCTTTAAGAACTAAGAGTTTTGTTTTAAATTATCACCTGCAATGTAGAAATAACTCAATTGTCTATAAACACTAATTATTGTAAAACATAAGTATATCCAACATAAATTTAAATAAAAGCATAGTGAAAGTAGATAAGGGTTGGGCTAAAGATGATTATTATTAGATATTGGCACTGTTTGGTTATTTGTAATAGACCAGTAATAGACCAGTAATAGATCAGTTTTGTTGTGAATAACAACAAAAATATTAGAGGTTCTGCATATGTCTTTGTGTGATTCATGGACCAATGATATAGTTGTAGTTTGCTGCTCAGATCTGAAATGAGACTTTATATTCTTCAAATATCTATCTCTCTATGTTAAAGTCTCTAAAGGGCTTTTGATTGACACAACAACTGTAACTTATGGCTTACCTACTAATGAATCTAGGAGCTGAAAAATCAACAAGTTGTGGCTTGTTGGAAGGGGCCATTAAACAACTGAATTCAGTCCCCTGTTCCATGCAGGAATCCAAATGTAAATATCAACAACAACTTGTTCCCCAGCCTTTAAGTGAAGACAACCAATGAACCCCCCCCCTCCAAAAAAAATTTGTCTTGAGTAGTTAGTTCTACTGTCAAACATGCCTTACTAATTTAGGCATTCAATAGCTTCTGTACAAAATAGCTTCCTTTTTGAAAGTTGGGATCATTATTTCTTGTCTTGCACTCTGAAATGATAGAGAGCAGGTCTTTATCGTTTGTGTGTGTGTGTGAGAGAGAGAGAGAGAGGGAGGGAGAGAGAGAGAGAGAGAGAGAGTGGGAGGGAGAGAGAGAAAGAGAGAGAGAAAGAGAGAGAGAGAGAGTGGGAGGGAGAGAGAGAAAGAGAGAGAGAAAGAGAAGAGATGCCTTGTTAGAGACTGTATTTAA